TTCAAGCAATATGTAAAAAAATCCTTAATATATAAATATAAGAAATATTATAAATAATTTAATCTATTCTTAAAATAAATATAAAATATTATATTTCGAATCATATTAATATATAATATACAACAATCAAAATAGATTAATTATATCACAAATTATTAATAATTCTTTAATATAATTAAACAAAAATATATATTCATATCAATTATATAAAATAATTATTCTATTCATTATTATAATATATATATTTAATATTTTATATATATTAAATTATATTAATTCATAATTTCAATCCAAATAAATATTTCAATATTAATTATAAAAATTTCAATATTAATTATATATATTTTTAATTATATTTATAATTAATCAATTTAAATTATTTATTATAAATTTCAATTGTATATTTATAAAATTATTAATATCATATTTTATTATATTATAAAAAAATATTTATTTTGAATTAATTATATTAATTTTAATTAATATTTCGATCATATTATTTTAGATGGATTTTATTTATATTATACTATCAATATTTTAGAAATATTCGAACATAAATTGGATATATATTTACATAATTCTAATAGAATCTTGATAACAATGAATATTTTTTGTTTTTATTTTTTAATTCTCCAGGGATGTGTTTTCAACCTGGCAGAATAAAACCCTTTGAAGCAATATTCGCAATAATATTGAGGATTGATATGGATTGATAGATTAGTGTAAAAAAACCCCTGATAGATCGTCACCCCACGTCACACGCCCCATGGGATTTTCAATGTTACACAATGAACATACATTTTGTTGTCAGGGGTTTGATTGGAGCAAGCCTCCGTGACCAACACATCAACATTGAAATATACGGGGTAGGGGGTAATGCCTGTAAGGGTTTGAATTATTTGTCCACGTACCGTATAATATAAGATAATTGCATATAATTGCACGGAAAGGTAAGCCTATCCGATTGCTTGTTCTGACTTTTGCACATCCTTACGAACCTGTGGATTGGATCCTGTGGATTGGATCGAGTCTACTCTGCCACCATGGTAAAAATAGTAGAGGTCTTCTCATTTTGAGATCGCGTCCAAAGATAGAAACTGCTCCAATCATGGCGCCCGTTGCCAGATTGATGGCCCCATCTGCCCCACTGGAAGGCTCGTCTTTCCCTTCCAATTGAAGGAAGTCTTGGGAGGGTGGTAGTGTTTTGAAGGGTAGATGGTGTAAACCTGGAGCCCCAAACCAAGATAGGTTGACCTCCCTGGTAGTCTATTCTGTGATACAATCTTTTGGGTGGTATGGGTCCTGTTTCTTCTTCGGTGTGCTTTTCCCTTAGTTTCTGCAGGGGGTCGTGCGGAATGTAAGTGCATGTTCATACACATCTGGATCATACATACCAAACACCCCTGCACGCCTGAAAGGGAAGAGCGTGGCGGAACAGGACCCGTGTACGCGCGCTGGTATCGGGTGGTCGACTAGGTCCCCCGGCTTTGACCCACAACCGGAGACACCGCTGACCATATGGGGGACAGCGTGTATGCCAAACTGTGCAGCCACCAACCATGCCCGACCAAGGCGGTCCTTGAGGTTTCTCAGTTCTAAGGTCCATATACATTCGACAACTCACAATCTTTGGATCAACGAACTCAGCACCTTTGCGCATCCAGGGTTCTTTTTTTGCTTCATCGATGCACATCGTCTGGTCTGCCGTGCTGGACGCAAACAAGCAACCCCACAGAATCGATTGAGCCTTGCGACCAGGAACAGGGATCGCACACCCATGGCTCCAGCTGCAAGAATCTTGGTACTACCGCTTGAAACTGCCAAGCCGCTGCTAAGCCAAACCAGCATAGCCATCCAACAGTGGCTCCGACTGTCTTCGCATGGCCCGAACACCGGAAGCCACGAAGACTGCGCTACCGAAGGCGAGGAGAAGCGTTGCTCCGATGGGGTTCGAGAAGGCAGTTGAGAGAACCAACGCATTGATTTTTGCAAACTTTGAAGTGTCGAACTCCTGGTAATACCTCGGATGTGTCCAAACCCGGCCTAAACGGCCTACCCAGAAGCATTGTCATTAAAAAAACACCCAAGCAAAGCGAAAGCTTGATATAGCGGGGTTGTACATGGAAACATGCAAGATCATCTCTCTAGGTTTGAGAAGAGCTCCCTGTGTCACATCTCTTCCAGTTCTGTGCAAGATCTCTCATTCCACCAAAACATTGCACGGTTCATGAAACATAAATATCTCTTCAGGGCCACTTGCAAGTCTTGCTGCAGTTAAGGTAAGAATGGTTGGGACACTTTGAACTGAAGAAGAACTAGCAACGCGCTCCCTCAAACAATCATAGAAGAGGAACATCGGTTCCTAGAAAACGATGAAGTCTACCAAGAAGTCCTGCCTAGCTTCTTTGATTGTTGGAGGGAGGGTAATCAAGTAAACCCTGATGCCCAATGATTAGACCCGCATCATCAAACTCGTACCTGAGCATCGTGGTGCTGGAGATCACCTCTCCAGTTGATACAATGGTGTATTTGAAGGGGCACCACGCGATGACCATTTTGCCCTCGCTACCCTCCGCGATGCCCCAATCCTGGGAGAAGGCGCGGGGAAAAAAACGGTTGTAACTGCCAAGGATTTACATGAAGGATTTAGCAGTTGGAACCGTTTTTCTTGTGCAATGGCAAGCATGAAAGAACCCGAAGGAGCAACATCTCCACAGATCCAAGAGTCGCATTTCCAATTTTTGTGTGTGCTGATGGGCGCAAAGGCCTTCCCAAACATCTCACCACACTCTTCTTGGCCTCAGAATTTCCAAGAAATTCTATTCTATTAAAGCCCAATGCACGGATTTTGCTTCAGGGAGAAATCGCAGAAATCCTGGTAGCTTAGCAAGGCAGAACCTCCCACAAAAATGTCACCTCGTGCTTCGTAAGAAACGTCACTTGGGGTCGGACGTGCTCATCTTCTCTTTCGGTCTTTCGGGAGCTTTTGTCTTCATTGGTTGTTGCTTTAGACTTTAAACTCATCTGAAAAAAGTAGAAGTCACGTGAAGTGATTAGAATCAATCGCAATCAAGCCAAAATCTAAAGAACGTATTGACATCACGAACCGCCTCAAAGCTGAGTGACTCTTGCCAGCCGCCTCAAAGCCGATCGGGCTGCTGGGGGTAAATGCGCACTTGATCTTTGGAGCGTAGAGAGCTGCCTCTTTCGCCATGAGATCTTGAGCCTCTGCCGGCGTAGCAGTCTTCCACGCCTCTCCTGGAAGTCATGGAGCCGGTGGAGTCATCAAGTTCCTCCAAAACTACAGAACCTCCTTCTTTGAACATTGCAATTTAGCATGTATGTTGCGAAAAGCGCCAGAAACAATTGAGTTTTCGTCTCCTTCGCCTAGCTCAAGGTCCCTCTTGGCTGTTGCCAAGTTTTTCTCACCCACATCCATGCTCGCACCAAGTGCCAGAAGTCCCAGTGGCAAAACACATCTCATGGCGTCGACACTGGGGGACTCCGATGTCGAGACGTTCGTTCGTTCAGCCACTTCGGAGCCAACGGCAGAGACAGTAGGGCGAAATCGGTTTTACAGATCTTCACAAATCCCCACAACATGTTGGGGGGTTCTAATAAATAAACACCGACCATCAACCAACCAATGTGGCACATGTACTACCTCCAGTTAGCCGTTTGCCGGCGAAAACATCTCGCATGTGTTCATCGCTTCCGGACAAATGGCTATGGGGTTTGTAGACTTCATGACACGAGAAATGCGTCGCAAAGTGGTTCACGCCAGCAGCCAACGAGTGATCAAACATTGGACCCTGTACTGTACCTACGAGCATACATCACAATTAGCTATGAGGAAATCAGCTGCTTCTTACTATTTGCATCTATTTGCCAGTTGATGCCTACCGCCGATTCATGCCGCTAATATCCGCTAAGCTCCTACAAATGTGTTGCTGGTAGCATTCTTCCCCTCCACCCGTGGCAATGAAATACTCTTTTGGCGTAGGCGTAGGCATGCAGCCAAGGCGTCGCCCATGCGAGCACATGAGTCAACTTGCTGCACAAGTTCTATCGGCTATGTATATCTTCGCGTGGTGACGGTGACCACGTGTCACTCGTGTGTCACTCGTGTGTCACATCCACAAAGCCTTCAATCCAGTGGCCATAGCTATTCGACCCCGAGACTGCAGCACGTCCAAGCCCAAAATCACCAGAGGTGACTGGTTCACTGCAACGCCCAAGGCTTGGAAGATTGGCAAATCTCCGATGATTAGTTCTCTGTCCACCTGGGCGCGAAAGGTGACGGATAAACGATAAGTGAGGATGACAGTAGCCTACTGGATCAAATTCCTTCTGTGATTCTGCTTGTGGGTCTGGTCTTTTCATCTGGTTAGGGATGTTCATCTACCTGTGCAGGTGCGGTTCTGGCATTTTTGAGGCTTCCTCTCGCGCCTCCCATGAGGGTCCAGTCAATCTCAAGCGCCCGCTCAGGACTTCCAAGGGGCTGCCATCCAGGCCAGTCACAAACTTCCCTGAACGCTTTAGCTCGGCCTTGAGACCCAGCGCACGTGCTGTAGTCATGCTGCAAACAGTAAAGGGCGCGCCCAAGTCCAAGATACCCAAGCACTTGACCTCACTGATGGTCTTGGATTCCGGAATATCGGAAACTGGTCTTTGACATTTGATCTTTTCAGGGCTCTGGCTAGAATGATGGTGATATACAGTGGGAAGCCCACTTCTGCACAGAAAAGATCAGTTTGATCCAACTGAGCTACTTGGTTGCCGCGGTTTGGAGCTCGCAAGCGGAGCGGAAGCGCTAAAAGGCCTGAAGTGCCCGGTACGCTTTGCAAAGGAATCGGCTTTAGGTCTTTCACAGCCAAAGCTGCAGCAGCTGAATTGGCATCTCCAAACTCCTTGGTCACCTTCATGCGACTTCTCTGGAAATCCAACCGCATCGCCAAGCGAGAAAGGACGTCAAGACCCAGAATCCCGCAACAGTCTGGTGGGCATGGCAAAGCACCAGGAGTCGTCACAGCTTGCAACCGGCCACATGGCACCTGACCGATGGTCACTTCTCCCAAATCCGCCAGGCTCAAACCACTTTGAATTCCCGTTCCTCCTTGAGCTGTCACCGGCACTTGCATCCACCGCGCGTTCAACCGCCGCGCTTCCATCTCACGCATCACGGTGTTAGAGGCTCCGGTGTCCAGGATGAAGCGTGCTGTGGCGCCTCCGAGCTGCACATCGATTGCCATGTAGGCGTCGCCATCTGAAACAACTCCTGCGAAATCGGCGCTCCTGACCTTGTGAAGGATCACCTGAAAAACCATGAAACACCATGCTTCAAACATGAAGCCGCACCACTGTCGAGAAGCTTCAAAATCAACAGTTTGACTGTTAAAAGAGAAACGTAATGTGGTCATCTGATTAATAAACACCCCCAGAATAATGACTTTTTCCTGCACTGATTAATAAAGGCCCCCAGAATAATGTCCTATTTTTTTGGAGGGATAGTTGTAGTGGAATATTGTTTATTGTTATAGTTTACTTTCTCCCTTTTGATTTGCTTTACTCACCCTCTATTCCTTCTTAACTTTTCCTAAGCTCTTTAGTTTTGAAGCTTTCCAAAAGTTTCCAAAAGTCAGTGCGCACTTTCTTTATAAAACCCCTTATTCAAAAGTATTGAAAAACAAAAAAATCATTCAAGCAAAGGGGGTAGTCCAGCACGCAGCTTTCTGACATTATTTAGGGGGGG